AAGAAATCGCATGTAAAACTTCTTCGATGGGCACCGCAGAACGATATACTCGCTCATAACAAAACTGTTTTATTTTTCACCCATGGTGGATTGAAGAGGTAAGGAAAAGAATTTGAAAGGCAGGGTCAAGACATCATGAAGAGTTCGTGGCTCTAACCTCTTATCAATTTGTATTGACCACAACTGCTCATGCTAGTTCCTGTCTTTTAGTATAAAAGAAGGTATTTGCTCGAATACCCCCATGCTTTTCTTACCTTTCTTCGCGGATCAACCTCGAAATGCACTTTTCGCTCGTCGTTTGGGTATCGCTGACGTGATCTATAAAATGGTAAGGTTTTCCATTGAACGGCTTTAAGGAATGTAATATGCGATACGAAATTGTATATAAAATATATATGTAAGAAATTGGCGAAGGTCATAAGGTCTTGCAAGTATCCGACCAGTACTGTACCCTACGTAGGAAAAAATAAACGTAGGAGGGGAAGTTTGGAGCCCGTATTCACATTCAGAACTGTGAAAGGATCTAGGCACATTCTGACCATTTAAATAGTCAGAACCCATCATTAGGCCTTTCCCTAGCGAGACTGAAATTAGTAGATTGGCTTTGCGAAGTTGGAGGATTCTGATGGCACAACCGGAATTCGACCATCACGAGCTTCAATGACTATACCTTTTTCCGTCATTATCCTTGTTCATCTTCTCGAGGATAGCGGTATCGGCTGCACCAAGTTTTAACGTCTTCACTTCAGAGCAGACAAAGTGCCGTCGAGATTTCTCTGAGCCCTTAACATCATCCTTCTCACTGCGAGATCGAACTCTCCTTGGAATCTGCTAAAATTCGATTCTTTAAGAATCGATTGTTCCTTAGCAGTTAGTGATGAACGAAAGTCTCAGTAAAAAGGATCAATTTGTTGTTGTCTTCTTTCAAATTTGTTTTACAGAATATTCGTATAGTTCATGTACATATTTAGAACATAACAAGAGAAGAACTGAGTTCAAAAATCAATCGAGTACTTACGGATACCAGCTTCGCAATCAACACTCGAAAGGTAGGTACTATTTACAGACTTTGTGAGAAACATCAATGAATTCCTAAATTGTCCATGGTTTTTAGAATGTAGACGTTTGTATGATGTGGAAAATAAATGGGAGAAATTGTGCACCAGGTAGAAGCTGTGACAACTAGAAATGGGACTCGGGAATGAAGAAGGCCGGAAGGAGAAGCGTACAAACAGAACAGTAAAAGGGTTGGGAAGGAGCTTGGGGAGACCAACCCAGAGGAGATGAAATTGGTAATAGAAGAGGGAAAATAATAAAAAGGAAATGAAAAATGTTGGAAAGAGCTCCTATCGAATGTGCGACGTTACAGTAGGTAATGGAAATCATGTAGAGAGAAAAAGCGAGAAAAATGACAGTAGGAAAGAGTGTCAGTGATTTAATGGTACCTACTGAAAGGCTGATTAGTTGTGA